CTTGTTCCGGGGGCCCACGTCTGCGAAGCCCATCTCCAGCTTGCAGCGCCGGTACAGCTCGCAGTGCCTGGCGTGGGTCTGCTCCCGCAGGTCCTCCATGTTGGTGCAGATGAGCATCTCCCGCAGCTTCACGAAGTCGCAGTGGTTCTCATTCTCCACTTGCACGACACCCCAAGGGTACTGGCGAGCTTTGACCATCTTATTTCCGACTTTTACCTCATCCATACTTCCGACCACAGCAAATGGCAAATGTCCGTCCATCGCAGCGTTGACTTTGGCGATGGTGTCATCGTCTGTGGGGAACTGGTATATCTGGACGCCATTGCTGACCAGCTCACTCATAAGCTTGATCTTAAACTTCTGCAATTCCGTTTTAGAAATCGCATCTGCTTTAGCAATCACTGGTATAATGTTCACCTATTTAGAATAAAGAAAAACAGAAGCTGATAATCGAACATCTAATTTTTATTCACACAAAACCATTCTATCTCTGATCATAAATTCCTTCAACTTGGATGGGGCCGTTGGCCAACTACAGTCTCACTGCCTGCTGTCACAAAGAAAGATTCCTCTGAACCATCAAGCCGGTTTGTAGCTACGGCTGCACATTGGCAGGGGTGAGTAGCTGCCATAGACCCTTAGAGCCCACACAGCCCAAGTATTCACTACCTGGTCCTCTGCAGAAAGTGCCCTCTGACCTAGACACTCACTGGCTGTCACTTTCCTAAACGTAGGACAGTGGTGGCCTTACAGAAATTACTTGTAAAAAGCAGAGCTCTTGGGGCCAGCAGGTGGTATGGTGGTTAAGCCGCTGAACTCCCACATGGCCGACCACGGTCCAAGTCTCAGACCTGGTAGCTTGCTTTATCTCCCTGATGAGTGCACATACCCTATAGCAAATTAAAAATAATAATGATGATGAATAAAATTTAATAAATAATTCCCATTTTTAAAAAGGAAGAGCTCTTGGTTAATCTTTCATTTGAATTTAGGTTTCAAAATCTCATTTTCTTCTTTCTCCTTCAAAGCCCCTTAAAATTCCAATGGTGGCAAATGGTGCAGAGGAAATGTGAGCCCCAGGAGGCTCTGCAGGACCAAGCCATGTGGGCACCGGGGGGGAGGCCTGGCTTTAGGTCCCGGGTCACCCGCGCCTGTGACCCTGCTGGCTGGAAAGCTGGGGGGCAGATCATGGTGTGATGAGACAGACCCTGTCAAGGGAACTGGTTCTCTGGGAAAGAAAGGGAGCAAGAGAGGGTGGGAGAGAGGAAGAAAGACAGAAAGAAACTAACTCCAAAAAGTAAACAAAACAAGTAATAAACAGTAAGTTGAAATTGCCTACTTAATTCGCTGACAATTTTTATTTATTTCCTCTGAGAGAGAAGCGTCTCCATGCCACAACCCAGCCTCAGCTCAGCCAGCACGAATCCCAGGCACACGAGCCCAGGGAGGCCCTAGGATATGAACTCAGGACCTTCCCATGTGGGCCCAGCACCACAGACTGCTGTCACCACTGCTGGCCAGAACTTCACCTCTTAATAATCTAATAAGCACAAAGCAATCAGTGATCAATCCCTCAGCAAAACTAAGAAAGAAGTGCAGTTTCTGCCCCCATGTCAGCACTGGACCTGTCCTTCCCCGGGCCTTGTCCTTGGAGGCTCAGACAGACAGTGGCCAGAAGGAGAGGACTAACAACCAGCTCAGAGCGTCGGGATGCCTGAGTAGTACGGCAGGTCTGCGCGTGGGGTGTGCAGACCCACACCTTGCAGATCTCCTACTACAGGGCGACAATGCGCCCCTAAGGGGACCAGGGGCTGTTTTCCAGTGTGTGTTAGTCAGTCGGGGCTAAAGGGCTCACCTGTGTCGAGAGTGAGTGAGCACTGATTTTCAGGACAAAAGTAAAAATAAACTAATTTCTCTTCTACTCTCATTGTTTTTTTCCTCATTTCCAGTTTCTCACTAATTTAATTTATCTGGATTTATCAGTGTTCTGAATGCTCCAAAGGAGGTAGATATTTTTGTAATTATCTGCAAGGTCGGTAGCCAAAAACTTCCTGAGTCAATAGCTTTCATGCTGGATTAGTCAAAGCTCCTGAAAATGTTTATATTAAGCCCCTGGTTTCAACATTACATACTTGCAACAAATCATGACAAATTAATGCAACAAATCATGACAAATTAATAACACAGTTGCTTCTGTAACTCTGAATGCTAAACACCAATGTTTGGTCAGGGGGAGAACAGGCAGCAGACCTTACCCAAGGATGGTCACTTGTCACCATCTGCACAAGACAAGGAGACGTTCCCCGTGCAGCAGGCAAGCGTTCTGCCTTAGGGACAGAGGGCTGGGGCTGGGGAGAAGCCAGCACAGACACCTCCTGAACGTGGACGTCAGGATCTGCCTAGACCTGCCAGGTGGCTGGTGGCTAATGCCTGCCCTGCTGAAAAACCTGCACCCCCGTGCAGCATGCACCATATCAGGTGCCTGAGGCAGGCCTTGGCCATCCTTTAACTTGTAATAAAGCTCAGTCCGTCTAACAGTCCTGCTTGGTTTCACAGCACAAAGATAATGGCAGGAATGAAGAATTCTCCGTTTTAGGACCTCTTAGCTCAGGGGTTTCAGTGTGCTGCATCGGAAGCCAAATAGCAGGGTTAGTCTTGTAGCCTAACGGTTAAGAGAGCTGGACCCCACATGGTGGACTGCAGTTCAAATCCTGGCCTGACAAACACACAGGAGGTGGGGGTGGGTAGATGTGTGTATCCGTATATCCTGACAGGATGGAGGAAAGAAGGAAGGGGGATGCATGTGGCCACACCCACTGGGGGAGTGCGTGCTCTCTCTCTCTTCCTCTCTTTGTCTAATCTCTGGCAAATGCTTGTGACCTGGGGGTGGGGACAGGGGGCTGAAGTCTCCATTTTAGAATTTCTCCCTTCAAGTGAATAATGCAGATGAGGGTTTTGTGGCCACCTTCAACTGAATACATAATACTCACAATCTTTTACTGTTACCATGGAACACTTCATTTCGGTTTTAAGCCTTGTTGAAAAGATCACCTGGCGCTGCTCTTCAGAGTCCTCGGCAGCACGGGGCATGCATCTGAGCCAGCTATTCTGAGGCCCAGCTTGATGGTCTGCTGTGCTGCCCCTGAGCAGGCGCTCCTGTCCCTCCTGCTTACACCCCGATCCCCTAAGGGACTGACCACACGTTGCTCCTGGCCGCCTAGAAGGCTTCGAGGGCCCCAAAGAACTTGGGGTGGTCCATTTCCAACAGCAATACTGAGCATTCTGAGTAAGGGTCAGCTGGTGGAGTGGTAGTAAGGTGGCTGGATTCACGTGGCCAGCTGCACAACTCAAGTCTTGGACTTGAAAAACACACTGGGAGCCTGCGTGTGTGTGCTCAAAACCCCTAGGGGAGAAATGGAGGGGAAGGGATTGAGCGTGACCATCCCCCATGGGGGATGTTCTCTTACCTTCTCTCCCTGGAGTACACATACCCTCTGGCAAATTGAAAAAAAAAATTAACTCTGAACAAGACTGAGCCTATTAATTAAAAAGTAACTTTTAAATAACAAAATAACATAGGTGCTTCCTATGTGGGAGGCATTGCACTAAATGCTTTGTAATTCATCTCAGAAAATCTTCACAAAAGCATCAGAGCAGTGCACTCTCCCAATTTTATAAATGAAAAAAAGAAAATGAAGCCTAGTTAGTTTGCCACCGGCCACCAAAGTCAGGAAGTGGCAGGACAGAGCCTGAACCCAGGCAGTTCCATGTGACAGCCGTGTTCCAGAGCTCTCCAAGGCCCATTTTACACTAGTACAGTGACCCCCACCAACTAAGCCCCTCGGCTAACTCTGAAACAACCTTCTTACACAAAATAACAGACAAATGCTTGTTTTTACAAGGAAATCTACACTTCGTCATACAAAATAAACATGTTTAAATCACCAGCAGTAGAGCAGATAGACGGTACGTATTTATACACTATACTAGAACAACCTTCCACTCTATGACACGCAGTTATACACTGGCTATTGAGAAGGGGAAGGGTGAACCAGCATGCTCTGCGTGCCTTTACAATTTGCACACTATGCATCATGTGATTATTGACAGGGCCGTGCAGACAACACAAGCTGGTGAAGAGGCTGCCTCCCATGCCTACGGCAAGGCCTGGGCTGGGAAGGAACTGCGAGCAAGACTGGCAGTTTACAAGCCCTAAATCTCCATTGTGTTGCTGTACTGGTCTGCACTCAATTTCTCTGCCATGAGCTTTACTGTTATTATGGTACCCTGCAAGGGTAAAATAACACCCCCAGACTTACTGCAACTTTACAATAAAGCCAATCAGTGATCCTGTAGGAATGCAGTTTCAGTTTCCTAAGATGCTCAAAGATCAGAAAACGTGAGACTCCCCCCACCCTGCCTGTTTTAAGCCAAAATTAGCATATGTTAGGTTAAGTTAGTATAAGTCAAATTAGCATTAGTAGTATATGTAGACTAAGTTCGTTTAAGGCTAATTTTACGTAAATACCCCTTGTTAAACCTGCAGGCCAAAGTTAACTTACCTTAGGCCAAGTTAGCATACCCACCGCCATGACAAGGACTCAAAGGTAAAGCACAAGGACCAGCAGTTGGCATAATGACTATGTCACTGGAACTCCCAGGTGGTCGACCGCAGTTCAAGTCTGGGACCGGGCGGCTTAAACTCACACCAGGCACGTGTGCGTGCGTGCCCAAGATCCCGAGAGGAGAATGGAGGAGAAGGGATTGTGGCGTGGCCATCCCCCCTGGGGGGTGATTTCTTGCTTTCTCTCTCTCTGCCTCTCTGTCTTTCTGGTGAGCGCACGCGCCCTATAGCAAAAATCTCCCCAAAAAAAAGAAAAAAAAAAGAATTCACTGATTAACAAAGAATTCAGAAAAAAAAGAAAAAAAAAGAATTCAGCAAATAAAATATAGGGACCCGTGGGTTAATAGAGGAAGGACAGATCTGGCTAACAGTGACAGAATAAACACACCTGAAGGCTCCAGGGGAAAAAGTAACTATCTTAGCTGAAAGTTCTTATCTAGTTCGGGCAAGCAACAAATAGTTTTTAACTACAAAGAAAGAGTTTCTCATCTGTGTGCTGTTAACTTTGAAAAACTGCTAATAAAACATCCTGTGTTGTCTCCTGACCTACAAGATCCTCTCATCCAAAAGGGCCCAGTCCGATAATCAAGACTTAAGAAGAAAATGCACCAGACAAATAGACTCCTTCATTTTGAAGACTGTGTTTGACTTCACCTGATCAAACAGAACAGTGCATCATGTTTTACGATTATTGTTTCCACACTTTGTATACCCTATTTCCTTAGAGTAAAACTTTTACTTCCCCCTCGCCCCTCCTACTCCTGTAAGACATCCCTCAATAAATAGGTATGTTTGATAGCCACGGGGCCTGCAGTCTTGAGCTGGCTCTGACTGTAGTCGGCTGAGAACATGCGAGGGAGCATCGAGGTCTCAGTCTGACTCCCGATCACCCGTGTTGCCCTCCTGTGTATGAGTCTCAACCCACCCCGGCTGGAGCAGGGCTTCTGGCAGATGATCTACATTATCTCATTTACTCTTCTTACCGGGCACAACTATTTGTTAAATCCTCTATTTACAGGGACTCATTTCATTCACTTTCATATCTGTCCCTTGAAGTAGGACTTATCCCTAGGTTTTTATTTAAAGGGGAGGAAATTGAGACTGAGAGAGCTGAAGAAACTTGCCCACGACCCAGCTACTAAGTGACAGAGTTAGTATTTAAACCTAGCCTCCGCTGACCCCAAACTCCATGGCCTTCATATAGACTGCATCATGTTGCTTCTTTCCAGCCAGGACAAAGCTGGGCGTAATTTCACCTCTCCCTCACCTTCTGTTTCTGTCTTTAGTGAATACAGGCACCCTCTTAGAAAGAGAAAGAAAGAAATGTTCTCTAAAAATAATACAGATAAGGGGCTGGCAGATGGCATGATGGTTAGGACCCTGGACTCCCACATGGCAGACCACAGTTCGAGTCCTAGGCCTGGTGGCTTTCTTTCCCACTCTCTTTCTCTGTGTCTCTCCCTGGTCAAACAGAAGAAAAATAGTAATAAATAAAATTAAAAATTCTTAAAAACATTATGTATGGGGCCAACAGGTGGTGTGGTAGATAAGATGCTGGATTCCCACATGGCCAACTGCAGTTCTAGTCTCGGACCTTGTGGCCTGAAAATCATGCCAGACATGTGTGCTTATGTGTCAAAAAAATCTGAGGAGGAGAATGAAGAAGGGGTTGAAGCACGGCTATCCCCCGTAAGGAGTGATCTCTCACTTTCCCTCTGACTCTCTCCCACACCACATGTACCCTATGGCAAAAACCTTAAGGAGAAATAAACACAAACAAAACAAACAAAAAAACAGAGAAAATTCCTTTTCTGATCATGCAATTTATTCACTAAAAAAGAAACTAAGTTTGTATGTTTAAAGTTTCTGGTTTTGTTTTGTTTTGTTTTTTGCCATAGGGTGCGTGCACTCACCAGAAAGAGAGAGACAGAGAGACAGAAAATGAGAAATCACCCCCTGGGGGGGATGGCCACACCACAATCCTTCTCCTCCATTCTCCTCTCGGGATCTTGGGCATGCATGCACATATGCCCAGTGTGAATTTAAGCTACCAGATCTGTGACTTGAATTGCGGTCGACTACATAGGAGTTCAGCGACATAGCCAGTATACCAACTGCTGGTTCCTAATGTTTCTTTTCATCTCACCTTCCCAACTGATTTTTTTCTGGAAAATAAGGTGAAATGGAAATTTATCAAATTCTTTAGAGGCAGAGAATGTATGTTATGACATACAGACATAATGTAAAGATACTTTAAGAGTTCAAAGTAAACAGGAAAGTAGATCTGTTGAGTCCTTTCCTAAACCCACCTTGCTGTCCAGGTTCTTCATGGTGAGGAGGTCGAGTGTCTTCAGAGAGTGGCCTGTGGGTGAGATGAAGTAGAGGCACACGTGGATGCGGGAATCGTGGTAGTTAAAGAGAGAACGCTTAATCTTCAGTTCCTCCTGGAGATAGGCCTCGAACTGAGCATCGATGTAGTCAACTATCGGCTGGTAGCTGAAAACAATTATTTAATATTTAAGACCACATATCCACACTACCTTAACCAGATATCTGTGCAGCAGTGAAGTCTGAGGTATCTAAACTAAACAGGTAACTTCAGTGATCAAACCTAATGCCCAGAACAGGCACACACAGAGGTTAATACTTAAAAGCCACCAGCACAACCTGTGCTTGAAACAGCGTTTACATCAAGTCACACGCACATTCACACATCCTTTGCCGGCCCTTCTGATGGAGGTTCCCAGGTATGATATACAGAACACCAATGCTAGAGTACTAAAAGAAAAAAATCAAATACAGCAGAACAGAAAAAGGATGTTATGATCTCAGAATAGTATCCACGATTACAAGGTTAATTTACCAACAGGAAATCAGTTACTACAACTTAACGTATTAAAGATTCGATGAAAGAAACCACAACTTCTTCATAGACTACAAAAAGATATATATATATAGAGATAGATAGATAGATAGATATAGATAGACAGATAGATATAGATAGATATACATATCTGCTAAAAGTATATATTAATTTATGAGTTTTAAAAACCAATTTTTAGGGGGCCAGCAGGTGGCATGGAGGTTAAAGTACTGAACTCCCACATGGCTGACCACAGTTCAGAGTCCCAGACCTGAGGGTTGAAAATCATACCAGGTGTGTTCATGCATGCCCAAGAAGCCTGAGAGGAGAATGAAGGAGAAGAGATTGCAATATGGCCATCCCTCCTGGGGAGGGGTAGGGGTGATTTCTCATTCTCCCTCTCACTCTGTTTCTCTTGGTGAGTGCACATGCCCTATGGCAAAAACCTTAATTAGAAAAAGAAAAAATGCCAAGTGCATGTACGTGCGTGCTTGAAAATCCAGAGAGGAGAGTAGGAGAGAAGGAACTGTGGTGTGGTCATCATCCCCCACAGGGTGTGTGTGCGGGAGTGCTTTCTTACTTTCCCTCTCTCTTTCTTTGGTGAAGTGCACATGCTTTATAGCAAAGTTTAAAAGGGGAAAAAAGCGAGAAACAGAGAGAGGGAGGGAGGGAGGAAGGAAGGATGGAGCCATCATGGAGAAAACGGAAGCTGGATTAACCTGCCACTTTACACTAGAAACGGAAGCAGTCCACATTTCTGATGACTGCGAAGGGAGATAAAGAGAGCCCTCGGACTACCCACCGACTTCCTGGAGGCAGGCCTCCCAGGTCCCGCACAGAGCAAAGCCTGGAGGACTGACTCACCGAGCTGGGAGACAGCACGGGTAGAGAGGTGGCCAACGTGACTAGAACCTGAGGGCCGGCAGGTGGCGTGCTGGTTAAGGGTGCTGAAGTCCCACGTGGCAGACTGCAGTTTGAGTCCCGGGCCTGGCGACTTGCCTTCTCACTTACTCTCTGCAGGTCTGGAGAGCTTCACATGCACCTGAGCTAAGCCACCAAGACCACGGCCATTTCCACGTTGAGGCTGGTAGTTACAAAAGGGCATACATCCAGATTCATTTCAAGGGCTGGCCTGGTGGCATCCTCGGCAGTGTACTGAACCGCAGTGCTGGAAGCCAACCGGTTGGCTGACCTGAAACACCTCAGGCAAGGCATGTGTATGCCCAAGACCCTGCCAAGCTGAAGGGTTGGAGAAAGGGGATCGCTGCACGGCCAGGACCTTCCTTCTCTCTCTGTAATACTCATGCATGCACTCTCTATCATATATAAAATAAATTTTTAAAAGTTCATCTTGGGGGGACCAGCAGTTAGCGTAATGACTATGTCTCTGGATTCCCTATAGCCGACAGCAGTTCAAGTCCAGGACCCAGTGGCTTAAACTCATGCCGGACACTTGTGGTTGCATGCCCAAGATCCCGAGAGGAGAATGGAGGAGAAAGGATTGCAGTATGGTCATCCACCCTGGGGGGTGATTTCTCGCTTTCTATCTCTCTGTCTCTGTCTTTCTGGTGAACACATGTGCCCTATAGCAAAAACCTCTCCAAAAAAAAAAAAAAGTTCGTCTTGGGGGCCCCCAGATGGCATAATGGTTGTCACTGGACTCCCATGTAGTCAATCGCAGTTTGAGTCCCAGACTTGGTGACTTAAAATTCATTCCGGCTGCGTTTGTGTGCGTGTCCAAAATCCCGAAAGGAGAATGGAAGAAAAGAGACTGCGGCATGGTCATCCCCCCCAAGGAGTAATTTCTCACTTTCTCTCTGTCTCTCTATCTCCCTGGTGAGCACATGCACCCTGTAGCAAAAATCTCTCAAAAAAAAAAATCCATATTGAATTGTACAGTTAAAATCAGTGAAATTTATTCTACGTAAATTACAAATCAATAAACTAAATTGAAAAGAAAGAAAAGGCCTTGGAAACATCTAGTTAATAGTAGTGACTACTGACAGAAGAGAACCAGCACTGGGTCCACGAGCACGGCCAGTGGGCTCCAGCTGATCTCGATTATTCCATATTTCCAGACACACGTTAATGGATCATTTGAAAACTGACAGAAAACAATCAATCAGACAAATAAATGAATAGGAAAAAGCAGGCTTCAGTCTATTTAAGGAGTACATTTACACAGAAAGTTATACCTCCTGGGGATCTTATCCCATAACACAAGAAAATGAATTCAGCAGGTCAAGTACACTCACCGGTTCAGCGCATTTACAATTACGTTCACTGACCAGCAGGTGGCGTGGCAATTAAGGCACTAGACTCCTGCATGGCCAAATGCAGGACCTGGCAGCTTGAAAATCACACCAGGCGTGTGCGCAATGGTGCCCAAAATCCCCGGAAGAGAATGGAGGATAAGGGATTGTAATGTGGCCATCCCCCCTCATGGGGGTGATTTCTCACTCTCACTTTCACTTTCACTGTCTCTGTCTTTCTCCAGTGAACACATGCACCTTATGGCAAAAACCTAAAATAATAATCAATAAATAAATGCACTTTAATTTACATACACTAATTGCATGTTGATCTGCATCTTACAAGCAATAACAATATTTAAAGGAACATGCCGGGACCAGCAGTTAGCATAATGGATATGTCGCTGGACTCCCACGTAGTCGACCACAGTTCACGTCCTGGACCCAGTGGCTTAAAACTCACACCGGGCGTGTGTGCGTTCGTGCCCAAGATCCCGAGAGGAGAATGGAGGAGAAGGGATTGCGGCATGGCCATTCCTCCTGGGGGGTGATTTCTCACTTTCTGTCTCTGTCTGTCTGGCGAGCACGCGCCCTATAGCAAAAACCTCTCCAAAAACAAAAGGAACATGCCACAGGCCTTTGCCCCTACCACTAATCTACCCCTTCCAAAATATCTGCACAAATCAGTGCTTCCCATTTAAGGCAGAGCACAGTACTTCCAGGCCCTACTCCGACACAGGGCATACAGGCCATCCCTCGAGGAAGCTACTCAGAGCAACCAAAAATGTACATTCTTAGAAAGCTAAAAGTTACTGCTTTACCACAGTCTTATTCTTTCATAATTTAAATTCGATTTGGATTCTATATCATCAATCTTTATAATAATAGTACAAGAAACCTGGCCACCACGATAGCCTAGAGGCTAAGGAAGCCAAATCCCACATGGCTAACTGTAGTAATTTAAATCCCAGCCCCGGAGGCCTGAAAAACAGTGGGCACATGGGCATGGGTGCCCAAAATCTTGAAAGGAGAAACGGAGAATGGATTGCAGCATGACCTCTCCTCACTAGGGGTGGTGCTTACCCCACCCCCAAAGTGCACAAGCCTAGTGGCAATAAAGAGAAATAAAAATATGGACTAAAATATAAATTAAAATTTCACCATCAAAACTTTCTTGGGGCCAGTAGGTGGCATGGTAGTTAAGGCACTGGACTCCCACATGGTAGTCCACAGTCTGAGTACCAGACTTGGCAGCTTGAAAATCGTGTCCCATGTTTGCATGCGTGCCCCACATCCAAGAGGACACTGGAAGAGAAAGACTGCAATGTGGCCATTCCCCCGAGGGAGATTTCTCACCTTCCCTCTCACTGTCTCTCTCCAGTGAGAATACATGCCCTATGGCAAAAACCTAAATAAATAAATAAATAAAATGGCTATTTTGGCTAAAATTCTGAAGAAGAAAGAAGAAAAACGCGGGACCAGCAGTTAGCGTAATGGCAATGTCGCTGGACTCCCATGTAGTCGACCGCGGTTTGCGTCCTGGACCCGGTGGCTTAAAAAACTCACGCCAGGCGTGTGTGCGTTCGTGCCCAAGATCCCAAGAGGAGAATGGAGGAGAAGGGATTGCAGCGTGGCCATCCCCCCTGGGGGGTGATTTCTCACTTTCTGTCTGTCTGTCTGTCTGGCAAGCGCACGCACCAAAACCTCTCAAAAAAAAAAGAAAAAAAAAAGAAGAAGAAAAACGCTCACGCACACATGTGTTTGACTATTTTACACACCTCACCTTATACAGAAATATCTTTTCCCTCAACAAGATAACTCCTGGCTGAAAATAAGTACCATTCACTAAACGTACACTGAATTTGCATACAGGAGATAATTAAACTATTTTTGCTGAAATACTCATTTTAATAATGTGATTCAAATTATCCCAAAGAAATTAAGCAACCGGATTAAAAAAAGGTCAATTTGTTAATAAGAACAAAGCTTTAATTTTTAAGCAAGGAAAAGTAAGCATTTTCTGTATTAGAAAAATCAAATCATAGCTCATGGGACTAAAAGGCAATTATCTTGAAATAAGAAAAACTTGTTTTATCCCTAGAAGACACATACCTTTCTTCTTTATTTATCTGGTCACCAAATCCCACTGTATTCACAATAGTCAGTTTCAATCGAACATTACTTTCCTGGAGTTCGTATGTCTGAGCTCTAAGTTTAACATGTGGGCAAAAATGTGAGGATTCATGGTCTTCAAAATTAGTGTTAAACAACGTGTCAATCAGTGTTGATTTTCCAATTCCAGTCTCCCCTGGAAAAAAACAAAGGCAGAGCTTCACAGATGCACAGGATGCTGAGAAGCAGCAGAACCCTACACTCCCACTAGGTGGCTTCAAGGGTCCAGATACTCCCAAGGTCACACTTTCCAGGAAAGAAACACATGCTGCAGCTGTTCCCGAGTAACTAGCAGAGTGTAGAAAATGGGTTCTTCAGGACTCTGAAGAGCTAAGTTTCAAGCCGAAAATTAAAAACTAACAGAACTTAACTGAGAAATATCCTGAGACCATGCTCTCAATTGGTGACATGAGCATCACACACTCATGACAAGAAGGGAGAAGAAAGGACCATCTGGAGGAAGACGGGGGCACTTACCCACGCAGAGAATGTTGAAACAGAAGCCCTGCTGAATGGATCTGTTGACCAGCTGATCAGGCAAACTCTCAAAACCAACGTGGCCAGACATAGTCAAGGACCGAATATTTTCTCTTTTCTGAAGGAGAACAAAAACAACAGTATAAAATAATAATAATAATAAAAATACTGAACCAGGATACAGGCACACATGAAAGGATGTCATGCGTCATGACTTTTCTGACGACCCAATAAAATGACAGATCCAGTTCCAGCTCCCAGTAATGGCAGAATAACTTATATCAAACTCATCTCCCTGCTGACAGCAATTGTAAGCAACTCTTCTTCAGGCCACTGGAATGGAACCAAAGGCAGAGAGGGGCTGCAGGGATGACTCCTGAGCAGAGTGAACCTGGGAACCTCCTAGGGAAAAACCACATTTATCTAACTTTCCCCCCTTGGGCCGCCCCAGTCATCACAGCACAAAGGCTGAGCTGGGTTAAGAAGTACATCAGAGATCGGAACAAGTAGCTTGGCTGGAAACTGAGGAAGAAAATTCCAAAAAGAAGGGTCTAAAGCCTGCAAACACACTCTCTATGGACTCCAGCCAGGTATGTGACTCCAACCATGGAGTCCACAGTGGACCTCTGAGCTGCACATGGTTCGGGAAAGACAAAGATCCAGGAGGGAAGAAGGGGACCTGGGAGAAGCTGCGCCCTCCTCGGAGACAGAGCCTGAATTTCAAGTCTAATTTAAAGAAGCCTGGTAAACCTCTCAGGCTTTTACTGAAAACCCAGAAGAGCCATGTTTTAAGAGCAAGAACACATCCCAGCAATCAAAGTGCTCCCTAGGCACAACTGAAACAGACCCGCGCTAGCAAAGCCTGTAGCCCAGGCTCGGTATGCTCAGTATGAAGAGGCAGCAATTTAACTGCCTGTTATAACCAAGCTCAACACTCGAGAAGAAAACAAAACCCAGCATCTCTACAACATCTATTATATAACCAAAGATTGCTACAATAGGAAGAAGCAGAAAAATATGAGGCCTGGTCAAGAAAAAACAGTCAACAGAAAGAGATCCACAGTAACTCATCGAGTTAGCAGATCAGAATTTTAAAGAGCTATGATAAATATGGGGGAAAATGTTTATAACCAGTGACATGGCAGAGGCTTATAGAGAAATGAGAGCTGCCAACAACATCAAAAACCAATAAATGGAACTCCTAGGATGAAAAAAATGCAACATCCAAATTGAAAACTATATTCACTGGTAATGGGAACCAGCAGTTAGCATAATGGCTATGTCGCTGGATTCCCACGTAGTCGACCGCGAGCGCACGCGCCCTACAGTGAAAATCTCTCCAAAAAAAAAAAAAGAAAAAAGAAAAAAAAATGCAACATCCAAATTGAAAACTATATTCACTGGTAATGGGAACCAGCAGTTAGCATAATGGCTATGTCGCTGGATTCCCACGTAGTCGACCGCGAGCGCACGCGCCCTATAGCGAAAACCTCTCAAAAAAAAAAATATATATATATATATATTCACTGGTATTAATAGCAGATCATACAACGGAAGAAAGATCTGCTCAATTCATTGTTATCCAAGCTAAATATATTTATTTATAGAAGTCAGAGATTTCTGACTTCTATAGAAGATAAAACTCTAACAGTTTCAAAAACCTGTAGAACAATATCAAATGGTCAAACCTACCTGTAACTGGAATAGAAGATGGAAAAGTTAGAGGAGGGTAGGTGAAGAGGGAGGAGCGAGGGGAGGAAGAAGGAAAGGTCTGAGTGATGGTGACTGAACCGTTTCCAATGTCTTAAACAGGAACTCGGAAACGCAATAATTTCAGGCAACTACAAACAGGAAATAGCCAAAGGAGCCCATGACTAGGCACATGACAGCAAACTGCTTAAAGACGAAAACAAAGACAAACGTTAGGAGCAACCGGTGTGGGAAAAACATACTACACACAAGCAAACCAAATACAAAGTGACCACAGAGTTCTAAACACAAAGCAAACCAGAAGACAACAGCACATGCAGCACATGTAGCAATGCCGTGTTCTGCAAGGCTGACCCACATGGGTAAGCTCCAGGATCAAGAGGAGACCTCCCTGAGTACAGCAGGCATGCGCCTCCTGAGATCCGTAATCTTTTTAATGCCAATAGAAAAAAACTGACAGTCAAAAATTCTGTATTAAATGAAAACATCCAAGATTTCTTTGGACAAATAAAATCTGAGAAAATTCATTGGCAGTTTATGTATGCTACAAGAAATGGTAAAGAAGCTCTTCAGGGTAAAAGAAAATGACAACGGATGGAAACTCAGAACTACAGAGAGGAATGAAGATCATCAGAAAGATAAATGCACAGGCGAGTAAAGGAGAGTCTTTTCCACTGTTTAAAGCAATAACCAAATCAATGTACTCTAGAATTCATGTCAGAAGCTCAGACGACGCGAGGATAGAGAGGTCCATCATATGTAAAATACTAGTGTTTTTTGAAAGCGGTGTGGCAAGTTAAAGTCGAGATCAATTACTGCTTTAAAAAAATAAGACTGGGACCAGCAGATGGCATAATGGTTACATTGCTGGACTCCCACATAGTCAAACCACGTTCAAGTTGGGACCCGATGGCTTAAAGCTCACACAGGGCAAGTGTGCGTGCACGCCAAAAATTCCAAGAGGAGAACAGAGGAAGAAGAGATTGCAGCATGACCATCTCCCTAGGGAGTGATTTCTCACTTTCTGTCTCTCCAGCCAACACACATAGCAAAGTAACCTCTCTTAAAAAAAAAAAAAAAAAAAAAGACCAAATAGGTGTATTGCTAATAAGCCAATCATGAAGAACAAATGAAATCACAAAATACTTACTAATCCAAGAGGCAGCAGGAAACACAAAAATGAAAAAATGAATTAGATATATATAAAATCAGTTATAAGGGGCATGTGAATTAGCACTATAAAATACCATTGCTCATCCAATAAAATAACCAAAATTAAAAGGCTGACAATATCGAGTGGTGAAGACAATAAAGAACAGGAATGCTGACACGTCTACAGGTGCTCACAAACGGTCACTGTGGAAACAGCTGGTGCTTACTTATAAAACTAAATACACATATACAACCTAAAATCCTCCTGGTGGTACCCACGATAAATAAAAACACACGTCCACACAAGGACACATGCAGAAATGTTCATAGTAGGTTTATTTGTAATAGGTGAAAACGAGGGATAACCAAATGTTCAATAAATGGTGAGTGGATAAACAGATTATAGTTCATCTACACTAAGACATACTACACTAGTGACACATGACACAACATGGGTGACCCTCAGAAGCTAAGTATACAAACAGCGGTTTAGGGTAATTTATGAAAATACATAGGTTAATATATTTAATCTTATATACCTATGAATATGAGTGGAAATGTCTGAAAGGGTAGTCACAGACTATTAAGAATGTCACCACTGAGAGTGGGCTGAGAAAGAATCACTTGTTACTGTGGATGGATGGTGGGCAAAACTGAGGTGGCCCCACAATGATGGTGGCTAGGACACGTATACTCACCCGGCTACTCAATAACCTGGGTGCTGCTGGGAGGAGACTGCAGATGTGAGGAAGGCTCCAAACCAGCTAACGCAGAAAGGAAGACTGTCCTGGGGGCGCCTGACCTAACGACAGGAGCCCACAAAAGGGGCTAGGCAATTTGTGGCCTGAGCGTCAGGAAACCTGAAGGGACCTTGACATGCCTCAAGTTCTCCCTTGCTGGTTTTCAGATGTGAAAGGATCCAAAAGCCTATGGTCTCTGGAGCTGAGAGCAACCCCTAGCCAGCAAGGAACTGAATTCTGCCAACTGGAAAAAGTCAGTGGAAGGGAACACCTTGAACCTGACCCCCCTGAGCTGAAAGGCTGACGGACTGCAGCCTTCAACAGCTCTTGAACAGGTGCTGTTCTAAGGGCTAACCTGTGACAGTGTGTTAGGCAGCAAGAGAAGAGGAACATACACAATAATCTCCTTTCTGTCCTTTGAATCTCTTCTAGTGACATAAGCATGTTATCTTAATGACTTTTTTTCCTTTTTCAGAGAAAGATTTTTTGCTATAGAGTGTGTGAACTCACCAGAGAGACAGAAAGACAGAAAGAGAGAAGTCACCCCCAGGGGAAATGGCCACGCTGCAATCCCTTCTCCATTCTCCTCTCAGGATTCTGGGCACACACGCAATGCACCCAGCATGAGTTTTAAGCCATCAGGTCCAGACCTCAATGCGCAGTTGAGTATGCGGGAGTCCAGCAATGTAATTATTAGACCATCTGTTGGCCCCTCGTTATGACGTTTTTAAGTAAGGAAGCGTTATGCTTCGCGGTCAGGAACCTGAAGGGACCTTGACATGCCTCAAGTTCTCCCTTGCTGGTTTTCAGATGTGAAAGGATCCAAAAGCCTATGGTCTCTGGAGCTGAGAGCAACCCCTAGCCAGCAAGGAACTGAATTCTGCCAACTGGAAAAAGTCAGTGGAAGGGAACACCTTGAACCTGACCCCCCTGAGCTGAAAGGCTGACGGACTGCAGCCTTCAACAGCTCTTGAACAGGTGCTGTTCTAAGGGCTAACCTGTGACAGTGTGTTAGGCAGCAAGAGAAGAGGAACATACACAATAATCTCCTTTCTGTCCTTTGAATCTCTTCTAGTGACATAAGCATGTTATCTTAATGACTTTTTTTCCTTTTTCAGAGAAAGATTTTTTGCTATAGAGTGTGTGAACTCACCAGAGAGACAGAAAGACAGAAAGAGAGAAGTCACCCCCAGGGGAAATGGCCACGCTGCAATCCCTTCTCCTCCATTCTCCTCTCAGGATTCTGGGCACACACGCAATGCACCCAGCATGAGTTTTAAGCCATCAGGTCCAGACCTCAATGCGCAGTTGAGTATGCGGGAGTCCAGCAATGTAATTATTAGACCATCTGTTGGCCCCTCGTTATGACGTTTTTAAGTAAGGAAGCGTTATGCTTCGCGGTCAGGGAAGGGCTCAAGATCAGAACACTTAGCAGAGTTTTACCTCAGAAGCACATGCTCATTACATAAAAGTTGAGCTACACGGCCTCTAGGTTCCCCTCTAGCCCTGACCCTACATGTGTGAGTTTAAGTCCTGGGAACAAAAGTAGCAATTCATAAATGAGGGTGTGGGTTTCTGAGCCAAAGCAGAGAGGAGCAGAGAAAATGAAACTAAGCAAGTCACCCAATGGACTACGCTGGCAGTGCTCTGAGCGAAGCAATGTCAGAAGGCGGCAGATTAAAGGCAATTCAGAAAATCTGGGGCCAGCCCCATGGCCTAGTTAGTTATGGGAGCGAGATCCCACATGGCCGATGACCATGGTTTAAACCGCAGCCGTGGTGGCTAGAAAAACACAGTGGATATGTGGGCAAGCGTGCCCAAGATCCCAACGGGATGGAGAAATGGAGAAGGGACTGAGCCGTGACCGTGTCCTATTCATTAGAGAGTGCTCCCTCTGTCTCTCTCGTGAGCACATGTGCCCTCTAGCAATTAAAAAAAAATTTAAAGTCTGTGAAATGATAAAATAAAGATGGAATAGATTGTTATTACCAGGGAAAGCAAAAAGAAAAGATGGTAGTTTAGTGGTCATATTAAGATGTACCAAAACCGGGGGGACTGGCTGTTGGCATGCGGGAAAGGGGGACAAGAGTAAGTTACTGGAGCACAGAACCAGAGGAGCCATCTAATCCTACTGAACTACCCATGTTTGTATTTGCAGTTTTCTTCTGAATTGAAACAAGCACATTTGTTTTAAATGTGCTTTTTTAAAAAATGTGCTTTTTAAAAAATGGGCTCACCAGGGAGAGACAGAAGAAAGAGGGAAAGAAGTAAGAAATCACCCCCTCAAGGGGGAGGGCCACGCCACAATCCCTTGTCCTCCTTTCTCCTCTCGGGATTGTGGGCACCCACACATGTATGTCTGGTATGTTTCTCAAGCCATGGGTCCTAGATTCAAACCGCTTAGCAGGCCATGTGGGATCTAGCCACCTTAACCACCCTGTCACTGGCTGGCCCTACTCTCTCTTTCTAAACATCAGAAATTATCCCTGTGTCCAGGTCCACCTAGATCCTGGAAGCCTCAGATCTGGCCCTGCCTCAGACAGGCACCCGGGAGCCACCCGGCAGCTCTCTCAATGCTGTCACTCCAAGGAACACTCTATCCAGTCCCGTGTGCAATGTGCCCAGCAAAAGCAGTGCTTGTCTCCTACTGGGCAGTTAGGCCACCTGCAGTTTTAAGTTGCTTACTATGAAAAAGAGAACCAGGAACAGCCTGCAGCACAGCACTGAAGTATGTGGAGGAAGCCAGAGCCCGGATCCGGGTCCTGCCCTTGGTGGAAGGTCCCTGATGGGATGGAGAACTGAAGGGAGGAGGACTGCTGGATGATCAGGCTGCGCAGGTCCTTTCTCTCCCCTCTCTCCTCTCGGTCCCTTTCCTCCCTTCTCTCTCTCTTCCTTCTTCCTGCTCGCAAAGCCCTGTTGAGGGTGCTTTCTCTCTCCCTCTCACACACGCACACACATGATGTGCCTCTGGCATAACAGAATACACTTTTTCATTAAAGCACAGACCAAAAAGGAAATAACAAATGATAAAAAGAAACAGAAAAATTTTTTTACTTAATGTCAAACAGGACAGGCACATGGTGGATTTTATCTACTATTTGTTTTTCCCTGGAGTCAACAGCAAAGTTCATTCCTATGAAAGGTGAAGACAAACGGAAGCGTCCATCGGAGAGGCCTGCCAGTTCTCCGAGCAGCTATTTGGGGAGAACAGAAGCATTCAGAGCACACGATGCACTCTATTTCAGACATACTCACTCTCTGCTCATCCTCAGATACTTGTGAGGGCATACAAGTTGTTCTCATCGCCATGTGAGTTTGAAAGATCTGGAAAAGAGAAAAAAAAAGAAAGAAGAAAAGGCTTAATGGAAAACAGAAACATTACCCCAAAAAGCCCTAAGCAACATAGTTCCATTACTCAGGGATTCTAACACTGTCACTCCAACTTGCAATCCACACTAATGACTCGTGTGTTGACACTGGCTTTCTTACTGGGTCGGTACATCTGTGTAGTGAACAGCACAGAAGCGTCAGCATATAATATATAATACACAGTAATGCACTACACACACGCACCCACACTGTAAGAAATTAATAAGCTCCCACTTGCAAGCAGAGTGCAAAGAATTCTTTTTTTTTTTTTTTTAAGAGATTTTTGCTTTAGGGCATGTGAGCTTGACAGAGATGGTGAGAGGAAAAGTGAGATGTCACTCCCCTGGGATGGCAATGCTCTAATCCCTTCTCTTCCATTCTCCTCCAGGTACCCTGGGCACACACACCCACATGCCCGGCATGGTTTTCAAGCCACCAGGTCTGGGACTCAAACTGTAGTTAGCCATGTGGGAGTCCAGTGACATAACAACTACACCAACCAGACCCAAGAATACTACCTTTTATTGGGGGGTGGTGGTGGGGGGTTGCTATAGGGCATGTGTGCTCGCCAGAAACACAAGAGACAGAGAGACTGAAAGTGAGAAATCACCCCCCCATGGAGAACGGCCACACTGCAATCCCTTTTCCTCCATTCTCCTCTCAGGATCTTGGGCACAGATGTACACGCTCCTGATATGAGCTTAAGCCACCAGGACCGAACTCGAACAGTGGTCGACTACATGGGAGTGCAGCATCATAGCCATTATGCCAACTACTGGTCCCAAGAATACTACTTTTAATTTTAAAATTTCATAGGATTAAAAAGGACAATAGGAACCAGCAGATGGCACAATGGTTATATCACTGGACTCATACACAGCTGATTGCAGTTTGAGTCCCAGACCCAGTGGCTTGAAGCTCATGCTGGGCACATGTGCATTTGTGCCCAAGATCCCAAGAGGAGAAAGGAGGAGAAGGGATTGCGATGTAGCCATTCCCTGGAAGGTGAATTTTCTCGTATTATGTCTCTCTCTCTCTCTCTCTTTCTCTCTCTCTTTCTGGCAAGCACATGCACCCTATACCAAAAATCTCTCTTAAAAAGAGGGGAGAAATAAGCTTTTTCACTTACGAGTACTGTCAAAAAGAAGTCACTGGGTATGTTTAACTGTAGCATGGCAGGGGAAATCGGAATCCAAAGCTGCTCCAATGCATACAATTAGAAAGGTGAGGACTTTGCAAGGTGAACAAGTTCCTTAGTTAATTAAATAAAAATAATGATCATTTAGAACTATTATATGCCTATCACTATGCTAGCTGTTAAGGGACATTTTCTTAATCCTTACAATATGTCTGAGCTCTACATACAATCACTCCTACCGTCTAAATGAGAAGATGAGGGTTCAGAAAGAGTGGGTAGCTGATCCCAAGTCACACGAGGCAGGGAGCTGTAGATACGGGACCGTCCGATGGCAGAGCAGCGTCCTGTCTACTGTCCCAGTTGTAAACCGAAGGCGCATTCACTGTGGGCAACAGCAAGGATGAGAGGAGTGGACCAACGGCACCGCACTGCTCCACCGGTTCAGAGTGCAGCACGAGATCAAAAGGACACATGGCACTTTGTAAAAATGGTCATATGGATACAGCAGAGAAAACAGACAGTGCCAATGAGAATCAGGGAGGCCTCTTCCACCCTGGATTCCCTAGAGCCTCAGTGCTGTTCCCAGGAGGCCTGTGGACAGAATTCCGACTGCTTTTCCCTATTTTTCCAAAGTCCTTCCCAGAGGGCCTGGGGGAGTCAGGCCCACAGACGCTGACACACCGTTCTGGCCCACGGGTAACAGGATTCGTCCTAGCCCCTGCCCTGGCATGGTGCTGGAGTACCTCTGTGACGGACAGTGAGCTCCTCATCTCTGCTGAAGCACATTCCTTGCTCATCTCAGCAACTTCCCTTTCCAATCACCACCCTAAAAGCTGTAAACCCACCTATAACCAACAAGGCCCCCCACCTTCCACATGTCCCGCCTTTTGGGGCCAGACCAATGGAAAAACTTTTCACTAAATTCCAAATTCTGTCACTCTCAGAATCAAATAAAAGGAAACCCTGTATCTGGTCACCCCGAGAGAACGGCAATGTTTTGTCTCCTCTCTGGTCTAGGTCACTCATTCTGCTTAGAAATAAACCGCATTAATGATTAATTATTAATAATTAATATTAAGAGTTGGCTATTTTCTGGTGACAAGATGGTGACCCAGAAGGGACCAGAGACGATCCAGAGATCTTCCGAGGGGTTGCTTAGAACCCTGTGCCTGGCACCAGCAGTGCGCCCTTTGTGCCCTCTCCAGCTCCGGGCCTCTCCTGGGGGAGAGTCAGGAAATTCTCTGGCCCTGGATCTCCCAAAATTTGGTAGACGGTCTGGTTTATTTCTAAGCTGGTTTTACTTGTTTGTCTGTCTGGGGTGACCCAGATTTGCTCCCTTCCGAGTGAGGGGTAGTGGTCGCGCTATCTGAGCAAGGTATATTGTTCTGTTCCCCCTCGAGTGGGTAGTTAGGAAAACCAAGTGTATGAAAGTGCATTAAACCACATCAGTTATTCATTTTTTAGAGCTGGTTACTCTCCGTTAACAGGCCACAGGACTCTTACACCTCCTTCCAGAGACAATTTCTGTGTAATAAGCAGACGCTCATCAGATCAAAACTCTTAGCAAATGTTCTAACCTTGAACACTTCTGTGACTGAGAAAAACTAATGCCTCTTCACGTATCTATCTGATAAAGGTAACGTGTTTAAGAACTACGAGATTCAAAGGGGACAAAGATGACAGGGTGCAGGAGAGTTCTACTGCTGCATGACAAGCCACCGGGATCTGGTCACATGGAAAAGCACTGGTGATGATGAGCACAACCTCAGCAGCTTCTGAGGATCTGTGTCTGCAGCAGGAGGCGCCACGCACCCAAATTCTCCAGGGCTACCTCAGTTTAGCTTGTCAATTACAGAACTTCAAGGAAATTTAAACTTTAAAAAATTATTAATAAAAATGGTTTGGGGGTTTAATATGATTAGGGTTTGTGAAATGCTGCAGAGTCTGCAGTTGATAAGTAAAATTTTCTTAGAGAAAAATGAAACAGGTTTTATGCGTACTATCATCCAACTTTGACTAACGCTGCCTAGGTTAATTGTCTGTCATTTATGTAAGCTCGTATCAAACCATCTGCCCAAAAGCCTACTTAAAATCTCAGTGGAGGGACCAGTAGTTAGCATAATGGCTATGTTGCTGAACTCCCATGTAGTCAACCGCGGTTTGAATCCTGGACCGGGTGGCTTAAACTCACGCCGGGCGTGTGTGCATGAGTGCCCGAGGTCCCAAGAGGAGAATGGAGAAGGGACTGCAGTGTGGCCATCCCCCCTAGGGGGGTGATTTCTCGCTTTCTATCTCTCTGTCTTTCAGGGGAGCGCACGCAACCTATGGCAAAAACCTCCCCCCCTCAAAAAAAAATCTCAGTGGGTAAATGTGTTTGATGAGAAAGTTTAAATGAGTCACATTAAAGGGACCTAAATCATTGTTTTTAATGTTTTCTACTAGAACTACTTGACTCAGCAAACTTCCAAGACAAGTTTTACACTGGAAGAAGTCTTTAATAACTAGCAGGATGTGGTTGAAGGTAAAACAATAAGAGCAAGAGTTGAATGAATCTCTGCAGTGGCAAAGGCAGCTCATGCAGTTAGGAAACCGTAAATTAAAAAAGAAAAAAAACTGGGCCAGTAAGAGGAATAGGGGTTAAAGCACTGGATCACACATGGCCACCTGCACATTTCCAGTCCCTGACTCAAACCCTGCAGCTTGAGAAACACACCAGGTGTGTGTGTGTGTGTGTGTATGTGTGTGTGTGTGTATGTGTGTGTGTGTGTGGTGTGTGCCCAAAATCCCGAGAGAAGAATGGAGGAGAAGGGATTGTAGCATGCCAATCTCCGCTGCGAAGTGACTTGTCACTTTTTCTCTCTTTCTCTCTCTCTCTGTCTCTCTCTAGCAAGCGCATGCACGCTATAACAAAACTCAAAACAAACAACAACAAAATAACCTACGAGTGTAATCTTTTGACCAAAGCACAAGCGCAAGTGGCAGACAAAATCACAACTAAATACAGTCGATTTGCTTTTTCTGTAAATATACAGACAGACACATTTGCAGAACTACACACCTACTTTCTGGAAGGAAAAAACTCAATAGTAGTCGAATTCTAAGCAAAGCCTAACAGAGAACTTTCCTAAAAAATGTAGTATTTAATGAATTACAGAAAGAGTGCTAGAACATCTCCTGGGTGGGATGAGTGTGGACATGTGACAGGGGGGCCCTATGGAGGCATGGCCTCTTCTTAGCAGCCTACGGGAAAATACAGTGGTTCTTCCCCAACAGGACCCAGATGACAAACTTTCTACTGGGAAACATTCCTGAAAAACTCCCTGCAGTCCCTCCTTAGGCACAGCACAGAGACAGGAATCCAATCCTGCCTGGCAATCATGCCTGGCTTCATAATAGCTGCATTTTAACCACTTTCTCACCTTTCGTCGTCATTTTTGCTACAGTGTGTTTGTGCTGACGAGGGACAGAGAGATAGAGACCCGCCCCGAGGATGACCATGCCATATCCCTTCTCCTCCATTCTCGACTTAGAATTTGAGGCACACATGCACATGCTCCTGGCAAGTTTTTCAAGCCACTGGGTCCCTAACTTGAACTACACAGTGGGCCTGTGGGCCCTGGCTGCCTTAGCCACCATGCCATTGGCTGGTCCACCACTTTTATCTTTATAAAGTTAACCCAAGAAATAGAACCACAGTTTTCAAATAGTTCCCTGGGCTTCTATGAGGTATTTGAGCTCTTTAGGACAAACAAAAAGGGAGACAGAGAGAAGACAACAGAGAATGGTCACATAATTGTCATCTTACATGTTTCAAGAG